CAAATTATTTATAAACTCCTACATAATTAACGCCTCATAATTAATAATTATTATTTATTCAAATTGTGATATCCGCCCTATTTATTTATTTATTTATCTAATTATTATTATTTATTTATTATTTTTATATATGTTCCATGTAATCGTCCTCCGGTACCGTGGGTAGGTGTAATATGCTAGCATTTAAGTATAGAAACGAATTTATAATGAATTAAAAAAAAAATAATGAACTTAAGTGAATAGATTCCTCAAGTGGGGGGTGAGATGATATAAAATGTTTCCACGAAAACGATACTTGGGAGATGTGTCCGAGATTTGCACGAGGATGCACTCATGGTTGGGAGGGACTCCTAGGGCTACCAATTTGGCGAGGTAGTCCGGTCTGGATATTCCTAAAAATCCGTTGTGTTAAAAATAGTTGTTGTTCAAGTTTGAAATTCCGTTTTATTTTTTTTTGTTGTGTCTGCTGCGTGGAAAATTTGTGGTTGTTCCCCCCCCTTGGGATCACGCTGACTAGCCGGCAACTCCACCGCGCAAAAAGGCAGGACATGACAGAAAATAGATAAACTAAATGAAGATCGACAGGAATTTAACATTGACACCAGATACAGAAAAGGACCAATTCAAAAGGGTAAACTAGAAAATCCATTGAAAGCAAATAAAAATGTAGAAAAAATAGACGAAGACCATTACAAAATTACTAATCGAAATAGAGAAACCAAATACTACAAAACACAATTTAAGAAACAAAAGATAACTGTTCGGAGCAGACAGCCAGCACCTAATTTTATGCACATAGGTGTAGGGAGTTAGGAGCCGCTCTTAAAGACTCTCTTATGTTTGTTATCTGCATTATCTATAATCGTCAAAGCGACGGTATAAAAAACGCGCTTTCGGCTCAGATCAAATAAACGCTCATCTTGCTTGCATCGCATACTTTGTTACATATAATCGAAAACGAAAAAACATAAGAGCTGCAACTCCCAATAAACATATTTAAATAATAAACCTACTCGTGCGTTTAACATTTACAAGGGTGGCAAATTGGTTGTCTTGTCGGGTGACCCCGACGTGATATTCGTTCACGTAATTTTCGTTTAAATCGGAGTCTGCAACTCAATTTTCGTTTTGGTTCAAATCGGTTAAACATTTGTCGTCGTTTGCTGGCATTCGGTCACAAACACACAAACGCGCATACAAAGTGCATTTAGCCGGGCGTTTGATTTTTGTACATTTCGCGCTGTTCTTTCGCTTTTGCTAAGCGGGCAAAAACTGTGCACAAGCAACAACAACAAAACAAAGTTCCCTAACCTTTCGGTGACGCTTGGTGCTCTAAATTTTCGCGCTTTAAACCACAGGGTGTTGTGTGCAAAGCAAACTTGATTAGAAATTACTTTTTGCTTTTTATTTTTTTTGTGAATAACTAAAATGCAAAATTCGGTGAACGATAGTCAGCCCCAAAATGGCCCAAGTGAAATTGAATTTTCTCGGGCCAAAGTGCAATCCATTTTGCGGCAAGTCAACGCGCTCAAAAATTATTTAGTGGCCAACAATATCGACCAATTCGACGAAGCCGATATTCATGCGCGGTTAAAGTGGATCGAGGCACAGAACTTGGCGTTTGACTCCGCCCAGACTGCGCTGGAGAGGCTGGACTTAGCCGAGCTTACTGGCGACACAAGGATGGAGTTTTCAGGAGTCGTAATGGATGTGGAGGCTAAGCTTAATCGAGGCTTGGCGGCTCAGCGAAAATTGCAATTTGCTGGAGCCACAGCTGCCAATTCGACGAGTTTTGAATTAACAAATAATCCAGATTTTTCGTTGCGGTCTAGGAAGCCTTGATTACCAGCGTTAGAGATTGCGCGGTTTTATGGATCCTACTCCGATTGGCCGGACTTTTTCGCCACCTTCAGCACGGTGATTGGAAATAATGAGGAGCTGACTGGTATCGAAAAATTGCAATATTTACGGTCTAGTTTAGGCGGCGTGGCTCTGGAGACCATACGCTCGCTAGAACCTTCGAACCAAAATTATGAAAAGGCTTTGCATTTGTTAATAAATCGCTTTGATAATAAAGTTTTGCATTTTCAGGCACACGTGAAGGCGATATTTGGGTTGAAGGGTGTCGAGGAGGGATCAGCAACGGGTCTTCGTGAGCTTAGCGACTTCATAAATTCACATCTCCAAGCAATCCGGACCTTGGCCAGTGTGGAACAAATTTTAGACGGATTTCTTATTCACATCGTCGCTCACAAGCTGGACCAGAGGACTCTAGAAAGATGGGAAGAGACCTTGCCCATCGCTGAGCTTCCAGCATGGACTGCCATGGAGTCGTTTCTGGAGAAGAGGTGCAGGATGATGGAGAACCTGGATCATGCCTTGGTAATCCAAACACCAGGCCAACAGGTGGGAAAAAACTTGCACAGATATCACTCAAATGCAATTCTTGCCTCTGCTACGACCCTAAATTCTACTGTATGCCTGTTTTGCAATAGTAAGGACCATTTCCTGCCGAAATGTTCGCGATTTTTAAATTTGAGTCCAAATATTCGATATAGAGAAGCAAAGAAGATGCACCTTTGCCTAAATTGTTTGCGCAAGGGACATAGTTTGCAACAATGTAAAGCTTCGCATTGCAGACATTGTCGGATGAGGCACCACTCATTATTGCACATGGCCTCGGATCCCTCAAGTTCGAACTCAATGGCGTCTCCATCATCCGACCCACTCCTGAGCTCTCAGGCAGTACCTTCCGCTTCATCAGCATTAGTTTCGCGCTCACATTCGCATTCTAATCAACATTTGGCAAACCCTCCACCCAGTGCCTCAAATAATATGCCGACGGAATACGTGTTGCTTCCAACTGCCATAGTTTATGTTAAAAACAGAGTTGGTGCTCTCATGCCTTGCCGAGCCATTCTAGATTCGGGTTCCCAATTAAATTTCATTACTTCGCGCCTAGCTAGCCAGCTTAATTTGAAGCACAGGCGATCGCTCACACTCGTTTCTGGAATCGGAGAATCTTCCATGAGCGCTGATAGGGCAGTTGATATTCTAGCGCAGTCACGGGATGCAGGCTATCGTGCAGCATTCACAGCTGTAGTGACTCATAGTATCACTGACTATCAGCCTCATTTTGACATAAATGCAGCAGGATGGAGAATTCCAAAGGACATTTCGCTCGCGGATCCTCATTTTAACGATTCACAACGTATTGACCTCTTAATTGGAGCTGGTCTGTTCTTTGAAATAATTACTATGGGGCAAATTCATTTGGAAAGCAACTTGCCAACACTGCAGAACACCAAGCTTGGTTGGATCGTTTCGGGAGGGATGTCAAGCATTCCAAATCATAAGTCTGTTTTAGCTGCCGTTATTAAGGATCCAGTCAATCATTCTGATGATGAAACGCTTACTGCTATTGTAAAACGATTTTGGGAAATAGAAGACGTTAGCTCAGCGAAGCCAGTTTTGTTGCCTGAGGACTTGCGGTGCGAACAACTTTTTAAGGAAAACTGCACTAGGCTTGAGAATGGTCAATACTCTGTTCGCCTCTTGTCCGCTTCAGGATTCGAATCTCTAGGTGATTCCTATTGTCTGGCTCGTCGTCGTTTCAAGAGTTTGGAAGCTAAACTAGATAGAAACCCAGCCCTAAAGGTTCAGTATTCGTCCTTCCTAAAGGAGTACATAAACTTAGGACACATGTCCCTCGCAGCAAAGGAGCCAACGGTTCCGCAATTTTTCTTGCCTCACCATTGTGTACATAAGCATGAGAGCACGAGCACAAAGCTTTGTGTCGTCTTTGATGGGTCTGCTAAAACGACTTCTGGTACCTCCTTGAATGACTTACTTCTCGCAGGGCCGACCATTCAGCAAAAAATCTTTAACATATTGCTTCGCTTCAGATTCTTTAAAGTAGCTCTTTGTGGAGACATCTGCAAGATGTACCGCTGCGTACGTGTTTCGTATCCGGATGATTTTTTGCAGTGCATCGTTTGGCGAGAAAATTCATCGGATGAGTTGAGTGTTTACAAACTAAACACGGTGACCTATGGAACGAAGCCAGCCGCTTTCTTGGCTATAAGAGCCATGCATCAGCTCTCTTATGATGAAGAGGAGTCATTTCCAATTGGAGCAGAGATTGTTCGTAGAGATTTCTATGTCGATGACTTAATTTCTGGGGGCGAAACGATTGAAGAGGTGAGAGAAATTCGTCGTCAGGTAAAGAGTCTATTGTCGCGAGGACACTTTCCAATCCGCAAATGGTGTTCGAATGAGTCAACTGCCCTCGAAGGAGAGTCGGACTGCGATAAAGAGCAGCTTATTAAATTTCACGATGGATCAGATATCGCCAAGGCATTGGGGCTAGCTTGGGATCTTTCTTCTGATCAGTTCCTGTTCAATTTTTCTCAGATATCGTGAAGTCATAGAGTCACCAAACGGATCGCATTGTCAACTATAGCCAAATTTTATGATCCTCTCGGGTTAATAACGCCAATTGTTACCAAATCTAAAATCTTCTTGCAATCTCTATGGAAGTCTAATGTGGATTGGGATGACGCATTGCCAGAGCCCATTCTTTCGTCATGGGGGAGTTGACCTCTCAGCTGTCGATCGTCCAGAACTTAAAATTTCCACGATTCGTAACGCGTCCGCAAGCGACCATCCAGTTGCATGGCTTCTGTGATGCTAGCACATCAGCTTATGGAGCTTGCCTATATTTGCGGTCGGAGGACAATGAAGGCACAAGAGCTTATCTACTCTGCGCCAAGTCGAGAGTAGCCCCGTTGAAGGCCTTAACAGTTCCAAGATTGGAACTTTCAGCAGCACTTTTATTGGCAGAGCTTATCGTAAGCGTCAAGGAAACCATAGATCTCGATTGCGCCTTTCATTGCTGGTCTGACTCGTCTATCGTGTTGGCGTGGATTAAACAGCCTCCTAGGGAATTCAACGTGTTTGTATCCAACAGAATCGCAAAAATTCAGGAGATGACGAAAGGAATGTCTTGGCATCATGTTCCAACCAACCTCAATCCGGCGGATGTCGTGTCGCGAGGCTGTACCCCTAAAGAATTGCTGGAGCATTCTCTTTGGGCTAATGGACCTCCATTTCTTTTGCAGAACTCATCGGAATGGCCTTCCCTGCTTGATGTAGTAAAGGATCTTGCAGAGCGTCGTTCCGCGACTCTAATTGGAACCGTGTGCGTTGACATTTCTGTTAACTGCAAATTCCTTAACACGTTTGATAAGTTGCAGCGTGTATTTGCGTACGTGTATCGATTTATTTCGAATTGCAGGTCCAAGCCTCTACTTTCCAATGGCCATCTTTCCGTTGAGGAGATCAACTCGGGGACCATACTTCTTCTAAGGAGCATCCAGCAGATTCACTTAGCCAAGGAGTATGGAGTTCTTAGCCAGAGCAAGCCGTGTCCACAGAAGAGCAAACTGATTTCGCTGAGGCCAATTCTTGGCACCGATAGATTACTTCGCGTTGGTGGAAGACTTCAAAACGCAAACTTGGACTATGGTACTAAGCATCCGATATTGCTTCCCAAGGACCATCCAGTCACCAAAGCAATCATCGTGTATTTCCATAAAAAATACATGCACGCAGGATCGCAGGCGTTGCTTGCCACATTACGGCAAAGGTATTGGCCGATTGGAGGTCGGAAGTTCGTGGCTAGCGTCATCAACAAATGCGTTAGATGCTTTCGGATGAGGCCTGTGACTTGGGAGCACGTCATGGGTAATCTTCCAGCGAATCGAGTTCAACCTAACCCAGCATTTCATACGACAAGAGTCGACTATTGTGGGCCATTCTATCATAAAGCAGAGTCCCGGAACAAGGCACCGCACAAGTGCTACATCGCCGTCTTTGTCTGCTTTTCCACGAAGGCCGCTCACTTGGAAGTCGTCCAGGACCTCACAACAGATTCCTTCATAGCAGCTCTGAGAAGGTTCATCAGCCTTAGAGGCAGTCCGCGAACTATCTGGAGTGATAATGCGACTAACTTTGTCGGCGCCAAGAGCGAGTTAGGCGAGCTGAAGGAATTATTTTTGAGCGAGCAACATATAGCTTCGATAGCTTCTTCGTGCCTAGCGGACGGGATAGATTGGAAGTTCATACCTCCGCGTGCTCCACACTTTGGTGGCCTATGGGAGGCCGCTGTCAAATCGGCCAAGTTTCACTTCTACAGAGTCGTCGGTCCATCCATCTTATCCCTCGATGAATTAAGAACTCTTGCTTATGAGATTTCTGCTACCCTTAACTCACGTCCCCTCTGTCCAATTTCAGAAAGCGCTGAAAGCCTCGAGGTGCTAACGCCGGCGCATTTCTTAAAGGGTTCCAGCTACACCAAATTTCCTGAGCCGGATGTCACGCATCTCCTTCAAGGCCGCCTCAGCAGATGGCAAATTGTGACCCAAATGCAGCAACTATTCTGGAGAAGGTGGAGCAGCGAGTATTTATCACTTCTTCAGGAAAGGAGCAAATGGCGTTCCGAAGGATCTAGCATCGTGTTGCTGAAGGAGGACAACATTCCATCATTGAAATGGCCACTTGGACGAGTTGAGGAAGTCATTCCCGGCGAGGACGGCGTCGTCAGAGTAGTTATGGTCCGTACAGCTACGGGCATCATCAAGAGAGCCGTCGCCAAACTGGCCGTTCTGCCCGTCGATTCCCAACAAGTTTGAACCGTGCCTCTTCCAACGGGGGGGAGTATGTTCGGAGCAGACAGCCAGCACCTAATTTTATGTACATAGGTGTAGGGAGTTAGGAGCCGCTCTTAAAGACTCTCTTATGTTTGTTATCTGCATTATCTATAATCGTCAAAGCGACGGTATAAAGAAGCCGCGCTTTCGGCTTATTTCGTCTCAGATAAAACTTACGCTCATCTCGCTTGCATCGCATACTTTGTTACATATAATCGAAAACGAAAAAACATAAGAGCTGCAACTCCCAATAAACATATTTAAATAATAAACCTACTCGTGCGTTTAACATTTACAAGGGTGGCAAATTGGTTGTCTTCTCATAAACAATAACGAATGTCGTTAAACTCCCACAGGAACCTTCTGTACAATGATGTTGTTTCTATTATTCACCACGGGCCACACTCAACAAATTCAAATAACCAACCCAGATTCCGACCTTGGCTATTTACTCTTCTCAAGCATTCCAATTCAAATACCGGTAGTGTATGAACATCACTGTCTTAGAATTAATTTAACGGAAATCAATATTATCACAAACTCTTTTGGTAAAAAAATCACAGACTCGCCCAGAATGAAATACTTGTACAATAAACTACTAAAAGAATTAAATGGTATATGTTAACTATTCACCAGCAAAATAGGCAGAAACGTGCACTATTTGACATAATAGGTTCATCCTTTAAATTTCTTTTTGGCACACTTGATGAAAATGATAGAATAAAAATTGACAAAAAAATAGATCTAATTGCAGAAAAATCAATTCAACTTCATAAATTAAATGATGTTATAAAGTTTGTGAATGAAGGATTACAGAAACTTACTTATTACGAAAATAACCGCAATAGTATTGACACGCTTGTTTATGAACTCATGCAATTTATTGAGTACATTGAAGATATAGAAATGGGCATGCATCTTTCCCGTCTTTGATTTTTTAACCCAAAGTTGCTCAATTACGATAAACTAGAAAGCATTGACAGTCAAAACATACTTTTAATTAAAACATCAACTTGGATTGACTATAAAAATAACGAATTACTACTTATTTCTCATATCCCTATTAATCACAAAAACATTAACACCATTAAAATAATTCCTTATCCCGACCATAATGGGTATCAGCTAGACTATTCAGAACAGCAATCATATTTTGAAGATGAGAATAAAATTTATAATCAAAACAATAAAGAAGTTAATAATGAATGTATTAAAAATATAATTAAGCGCAAGAACCCAACCTGTAATTTTATACCAACTCTATCAAAAGAAATAATTCAATACGTTGAGCCAAATATTATACTTACATGGAATCTAACTGAAACCACAATCGCACAAAATTGTCAAGAATTAAAGGGCGATATAAAAATAAATGGAAGCAAAATTATTAGAATAAAAAAATGTAGAGTTAAAATTGGAAATGTTATTTTAAGCGAAAATTCGTTAAGTCCAGAATTTGATTTAACACCATTGTATTCACCGATTAATGTAACCAAGATAAAAATGGTAGAACACAATGACGTTTTAAAACTAATTTCAGAAAATAACACTACACTTTACGTAATTATAATAATTGTAGTTATTGTTCTTATTATTTTTCTTGCCCTATCAAAATTTTTTACACTAAATCCACTCACCATTTTATATACAAAATTTAGAAAACAAGAAAAAAATAATCAAGAACCACAACAAGAAACAGAACCGGCACGAGACCAGTTGCCTACATTGTACCCTGAAATGCCAGCCCAAGCATAGGCAACCCTTTTCAAGGGGAGGGAAGTGACATATTCACATATTCAGTTATATACCAAAAAATAAGAATATGCAGCGTAGGGGATCCCACGCTGAATCAATGTAAACAATCCGCATCCGGAGCAGGCGACGCCGCTCGTCAATAACATAAACAATTCTTGAAATCAATAAGTGTCGCACCCTGAGCGGCACTCTTACTCCCAAACTTATGTACAATCCATATCCCAATCGCTCCCAAAATTAGTAAAATTAGTAAAATGGTTTACTATATATAAGTTAACACAACCAGTTCCCACGAACCAAAATTGTCGAGTTGCAGCCCGTATCCGGTGGCCAACACGCGCAGTAAGGGAACTGTTGAATCGACACTCTGGGGTTCATCGCCCGGAGTCCGGCCAGAAACGCGCACGCATCAGGTGACCGTCGCTGGCCAGATACCAAGTGCTGACCCGGCGCTTTAGCGGCAGCCCTGGGAACACTCGCTCAGCGAATGATCGCGAGTGGCCGAATACCAAGTCTTGACCTTGCACTCTGGCGACAGCGCTGCAACCAGGTAAAGGCCTCGAGCTGGGGCCGGATCAGACCTTCGAATTAGTTTTAATTACACTCCGTGGGCTAACGCACACGCGAAATCAAATAGTAATTACCTTTGGCTTAATCAAACTTGTAATCAACAAAATAATAATTTATCCTTTACTCTAAAGAGTTTAGGATTAATAAATGATATAAACTAAACCAACAGACTTTATAATTGTCGCCCAATCGACCCACGCGATCGAAAGTGAATTTGCAAAAGTAATTTGCAATTCGGGAATACTCGCGCGATACAGTGCAGTGCGTTTAAAAGAAAACTCACAAGTTAGTTGCAAATAATTGCAAAGTGAAAATATTATAATAACTTGCAGATTGCAAATACAACTGCAAAAAAATAAAAGTGCAAAAAATAAATTACAAAAAATAAAGTTCAAAAAATAAAAGTGCAAAACATAAAAATAACATTTGCGAAAAAAATAAAAAAAGCAAAAGTGCAAAACAAAATTGCAAATACAACGGAAAAAAATAAATTGCAAAAAATAAGTTGCAAAAAAATCCAAAACAAAAAAAGTGGAACTAATATAAAACGCGCAACAAAATTCCCTTCCGCGGGAATAATATTGAGCAAAAGGGAGCTGTAGGGAAACCCCTCGCCCCCTCCGTGGGAGTAACTGAGCAACAGGGAGCTGTAGGGAAACCCCTCGCCCCCCTCCGTGGGAGTAACTGAGCAATAGGGGCTATAGGCACCCCTCCATCACCCCTCCAGAAGGAAGAAAACGAAAACAACAGCAACGGCAGCAGCGACGGCGGCAGCAGCAGCAACAGCGACAACGACAAAAAATAAGAAATGTGAGTAGGCTTTTTGTTTAATATTTGCCAATAAATTATTCGGAAAGTAAATTTTGCCGGTGCTTGACAGCATAGAATTTTTATTCGTACGGAACTTTTACGCTTTTGATTTATAAAATAAATATCAAGTAAATTTTTTCTCGTGTCGTCGCGAATCAATTAATTTAATTAAATAAAAATAAATCTTTCGATAAACCCTTGGTTGAATTCTGTTAGACCAATGAAATCGTTGTAAATACGGGCCCATGTATAGAAATAACAGGGACATTTCATCGGATGAGGAAATTCTTGCGGAATATAGGAAGCTTTTGGAAACAAGAGTAGGAAAGGGAAAACTTGAACAAGATCAGGAAACTGAGGCAGGTTGCCAACCATCTACCAGTAGGGCAGTAATTATTCGAGACAGCGTTCTCAATACAAAAGCTCCACAACAAACACTTAAAATGGAACCGGAGCAACTTGCGAATATGGAGGCCGCCATAAACAACGCCCTCAGAGAGCAGCGGGAGCTATTTGATAAAAAAAATAGCTGCGGTAATAGGGGAGTTAAACTCATTTAAAATTAAAGATAACACCCCACAAATTCAGATTTTTCAAGAAATTGAATTAAGACCAGAAGTAATATGTAATGAACCCCTGGACATGGTAAAGTCAGTCCCAGAATTTGATGGCAAACAGGAAAATTACGTTTCCTGGAGGCAGGCTGCCACAGCAGCTTATAAGGTATTCGAGTCATACGATGGCAGTAGCCGTCACTATCAGGCAGTAGGAATACTTAAAAATAAAGTAAGGGGTCCAGCAGCCGCTGTGTTATCTTCTTTTAACACAGTTTTTAATTTTCATGCCATACTGGCACGCTTAGATTTTACGTACGCGGACAAAACTCCGGCGCACGTAATTAAACAATAACTTAATTTGTCAAGACAAGGGGAACTACCCCTGCTTAAATATTATGATGAAATAAAGCGAAAACTGACGCTCCTTACTAACAAAACCATTATGACGGACGACGCAGCCACGGCGGCCGTCCTAAACGAGCAACACAGGGTAGACGCTTTGCACGCGTTTATTTCTGGTCTAAAAAAATCTCTCAAAATAGCCGTTTTTCCGGCGCAACCTCGGGACTTACCATCAGCATTAGCGCTAGCGCAAGAAGCTGAATCAAGTCATGAAAGAAGTGTCTTTGCGGCCACTTTTGTCCGACACAATGATGAGAAATCGTTTAAGCCAAACAACCAGCGGCAAGCGGGCTATGAGGAAAAACCCTCACTTCGCTAGGACTCAGAAGGAACACAATAACCAAAACGGTTCTTCTAGGCAAAGACCTCAAAATAGTACAGGAAGCATTCAGAGCCAGACGGTGGAACCAATGGATGTCGACATCTCCTCCTCCAAGTTTAGGCAGCCCACAACATGGCAAAAAGGGCAGTCAAAGCGGTTTCAACAAAAAATAAACTTCATACCGGAAGACAAAACCGACGATGAGGATTATGACTCCGCCGCCCAATCTCCAATCCCGGGGCTGAAAGGCATCGTGGCAGCGGAGAAACCCTTCACAGTGAAGTCAATCCATGGCTTTACTAAAATAGATAAAAAATGTTTAGTTTCGGTGTTTAACGTAAAAACACCCTTTTTTATTTTAAAAAACCTTAAAGACTTTGACGGTATTATCGGGCTCGACTTGCTTAAACAAGCGAACGCGAAACTCGATTTTACCGGCAATGTCCTGCACACAAGTAACGGAAATGAAAAGATCCGGTTTACTAAAGCAGAAAACGTCAACTTCATTCAAATTGATGATGAAGACGTCCCCCTGGCAATAAAAGCCACATTTGATAAAATGATTG